CTCACCCCGTATGCCTTCCGTCGCCTTGCCGCCAACGCGCTCAACTGTCCTGATGTCACCTCGGAGGACAGGCGCGCCGCCATGGGTCACAATGCGTGTAGCGCAGCCTACCGCGCATACCATGCCAAGACTGCCCAGATTGATGTCCAGGGACTGGTGGCGCATGGCAGTGAGAATCGAGAGCGCTTGCGGCTACCGTTGCTGAAGCACTTCAACCTGCCCAGCGCTGTCTCCACCATTGGAAGGCAAGAAGTCTTTGGCGCAGCTGATGTCAAGCACCTGCAAGAGGCTGTACGCCATGCTCAGGCCACGTTCAAGAGCTCGCACGCTGATCTTTCCATCCGGCAAGGCAAACAACTCGGCTTGGCGCTGGCAAAGGCCGTCAAGTCAGCTGAGAATGACCTGTCTCAGCTGATCAGTGCTCGTCTGTTGGCACAGTGGCGCAAGGAAGTTGCAGCAGCGGTAGAGAGTGAGAACCTGCGCGCCTTTGCCCCCCGGATTGCTGAGCTGGCCACCGCAGCTGCCTTCCAGAGCACTGCGGATGGCATCCTTCTGGACACACCGTCTGGAAACGGTGTCGATGTCTTGTTGTCCCTGGGAAACGCCGATCTGAGAGATCCAGCAGTGCTTCGGGCCAACGCGGAGGAAGAGCTGGAAGTGGACCTGGATCTTGGTCTGGACGTTGCGTCTATTCAAGCCCAGCCGACAGCACCACGGACACATCTTGACGAGGAGCCCAACATCAGCCTAGTCCCACCAACACGCTTTGCGCTTGCTCACGCCAACCACGCCCACATGCAAGCAACGCTCAAGGGTGGACGGGACTTGGAGTCAGGCCAATATCTTGCACTGCTGCGTCTGATGCTCAACGAAGAGATGCTGCACAGCTTGCCGCTGGCGCGAGCAACGCCAAGTGCCAAAGCGAGTGCCATTCCGGCGTTGGAGGCAATGAAGGTCTTCATGCAGTGTCCTCTCCCTGAAGGGAAATACCGCAAGACATCATGGCAGGGCTGCGGCAATGTTTCGGGCGATGACGTTGCGGAGCTGGTCTGGCATCTGGGCACGCAGCACGCCAATTTGGCCAAAGGAACCCCTTGCCGCTTGTGTAGCAAGCGCTTTGGCTCAGCAAACGATGGCTACTGCCACTACGAGGCAGAGCACAATGTCGTGTTTGCAAACGCTGCGCACAGGAAGCTGACGCAACCGCCTGCCATCGAGGAGATCGTAGCTTCGATCACTCACCGCTCCGAACTGTGTCACGAGACTCTGCCGGGTAGAGCAGCCTTGCTTTATCACTGCATGGCTCATCACGATGAGTTCAAGCATCGTGGCGTGCCACTGCCATTGCCCGGCGCCTCGGCAGACTTGGCAAAGGCTGGTGTTTGCCCTATCTGCGTGAAGTCAGACTTGCCGGCCGTCAACGCTGTCACGACATTCTCACGGATGCAGAGCCTAAGCGAGCACTTTCAGACGGTGCACATCCACAAGGACATGGAGAAGCCGTTTGTGCAGGAGCACTGTCCATACCCAACGTGCGCAACGAGGTGCGGCACCTACGTCGACCTTATCAACCACCTTGTCGAGGAGCACGGCATCGCCATCTTTGGCATGCAGGAGAAGCAACGACAGGTGTGGGATGGAACGGCAGGTATGCTCTACCACGTGCATCGTGCGGAGAAGCGGCCAAGCAAGGCAAAAGAGGGCTCGACCTCGAAGCGAGCCAAGAAGGTCGCTTCTTCCACCGAGGGGGAGACGACTGCCCTCGCGGACAAGACCAACAAAGCTGGCCCCTCGCGCTCCTGAGGAGGGGAGGATCCTCTCTCGTTACACCACGCCAGACGCGGTTCCTCGACAAAGCAATCCGGTCGGCTTTCGACAAAGCTTGAGCGCGTCAGGCGGAAGTGCCGCGGCAATCTTGCGCATCGCGTCCAATAGATCCCTCCAAGTTGATCTGAAGCGTTGACCCTCAGCCCGAGCGTTCAAAATTCCGTTGTCTCTCGCCCCAGAATTGCCTCCCTCTCCCACCTCAGGTTTCAAAAGCAGCTTTCACTGCGTTGTCGTCTGTCATCCTTTCTTCTTCTCACCAGTTGGACAACCATGAGTCTCTTGCGCCTGCTCTCGCAACCAAGCAATAAAATCCTTCCGACCTCCCCCCTCACCAAACCACAAGGCTATCCGGCACCGCAATAATGGCAGCATCAGCAACATGCCCGACCGCCTCATCATAATCAATTTGTTTCAGCGCGCGATGCTGAAGAAAGTCAAGAAGCCGACATCGCTC